CCCATTTTATTTTCTTAGATGAAAAAGTAAAAATCACTTTAAACAATTTAATCGTTTCACTTTAAACGATTGCTAAAAATGAGGTCTGACTTTGCAGGGCAAAGCGTACAAGAAGAAATCACTGTTATATCAAGGCAGCTAGAATTTGCTGGACAGAGTAAGAGGGAACTACACAGAGACCTTTGAATATCCCTCAAAGATACAGCTGAGTACTGGTCGCACTTGTATAGGGTGTAAAAAGAACCTCTCAAAATCAATAGGCTGAACAATTTCTGAAGCTCACACAAGATTGAGAATGGTTTTCAGTCTTGCAAGCCAGAATGGGAAAATAAGAATACTCAGAGGGGAGTTACCATAGAAAATGAGCTAAATTATCCCTAGATGAAAGACTGTTCTTGAACCATTCTATCAAAGTTTAAATAAAGCCTTAAAAGGAACAAAAAGATTTCATGTAACTTGACTATATGCCAGAATTAAATCCAATATAACCTAAAGAACTACTTTAAAATACAGCAAAACTTCAATATAAAATTCATAATATTTGGCATCCAAAGCATCCAGAAGAGACAAGACTCCCATTCAGCATAATTCCAAATAACTTATGTAGATTCTTCACCCTCAAGGAGGGGAAAGCATAATTATTCACTCCTTAAGTGTGGGCTACACATAGTGACTGCCTTCCATTGTGTACAGTATGGAAGGAGGAAAAGAAAGTAACTTTATAGTGAAGAAACCTGCCAAACACTTACTCAGCCATGTGCAGTCATAAATCCTATTGACAGTGTGTATGCTAGATATGAAGTGAGGAAATTGACACTTTTACTGCTGTTGTGTTTTTCGCAATAACTCAGAACCTGTCTGATTTATCATAAGAAAAAAAACATTAAGTAAATGCAATAGTGTGGCATCCTACAAAACATACACCCAGGACTCCTCAAAAAAAAAGTCTGAGAAACTGTCACTTCCAAAAGAAGCCTAAAGAAACATAACACCTACATATAGTGTAGCATCTTAGATGGAAACCTGAAACAAAAAATAACATTAGGTAAAAACTAAGGAAGTTGCAGGCTGAGGTTGTGGCTCAGCAGTGGAGCGCTTACCTAGCACGTGCGTGCGAGGCCCTGGGTTCGATCCTCAGCACCACATAAGAATAAATAAAACAAAATAAAGGTATTGTGTACAACTAAAAAATAAATGTTTAAAAAAAACTAAGGAAGTCTAAAGAAACTGTGGATTTTAGTTAGTAAAAACATATTGATTTTGGTTCATTAGTTATAAAATACATATCATTAAATGTAAGGGGGTAATAATATAGGAAAGAGGGAAGGAGTATATGAGAACTCTACTACCATCTTAATTTTTCTATAAAATTTACACATCTAAAAGTGTTCTAAAACTAAACCCCATTAAAAATAAAAATAATTAGTGGCCATGGAAATCATCAGGAAAATATAACCCACAGTTAGGAGAAAAATCAAGCAATAAAAACAGGCCCAGAACTAATGACAATATAGAATTAGTAGACAAGGACATTGAAATGTTATAAATATCTTCTGTTTGCCTGAGAATGTAGAGGAAAGCAGGAGCATGGTGAGGAGAGAAAACAGAGGTATTAAAAGACCCAAATGAAATTTGTAAAAATTAAATGAAATATATATAAGAAAGAAATATCCTGTTCAGCATAAACTAATTAGGCATGCAGAAGAAAGGACAAAAGAATTTGAATAGGAATAAAAAAAAACATTGAAAATGAAGCATAAGAAGAAAAAGGCCTAAAAAATAATGAGCATTGATGACATAAGGCAATTTGACAACATTAAATTTCTAATATAGGTAAAATTACAGTTCCTTTAGGAAAAAAGGGATGTGGTAAAAAATATTTGAAGAAGCTGGGCATAGTGGTATACACCTATAGTCCCAGCTATATGGGAGGCTGAGCCAGGAGAATCATTTGATCCCAGGAGTTTGAGGCTAGTTTAGGCAACATAGTGAATCCCCATTTCAAAAAAGGAGGAGGAAGAGAAAAAAAAATAGTGGGTATTATTTCATTATTTGATGAAAACTATGAATTCTTAGATCCAAGAGTCTCAATGAACAACAAGAAGAATAAATAAAAGAAAAATCACACCTTGAGCTGGGTGTGATGGCACACTCCTATAATCCCAGCGACTCAGGAGACTGAGGCAGAAAGATGGAAAGTTCAAAGCCAGCCTCAGCAACTTAGTGAGGCACTTAGCAACTCAGTCTCTAAATAAAATACAAAAAAGGGCTGAGGATATGGCTCAGTGGTTAAGTACCCCTGGGTTCAATCCCGGGTACAAAAAAAAAAAAGAAAGAAAGAAAATGAAAATCACACCTTGAGTAATCAAATTGGTGGAAGAAGGTGACAAAAAGAAAATCATAAAGGTAGCAAATAAATAATTAAATAAAGCCCATACCCAAAAATGAAGATAAGAATGACAATTAGACATCTCATCAGAAACTATGCAAGTCAGAAAATAGAGTGACATCCTTAAAGTATTGAAAAAGAAATCCATCAACCCTGTTCCAGGGAAAATATTTTTGCAAACTTATAGTAAAATAAGGACTTTTTTTCAGACAGAAGCTGAGATAATTCAGCTTTACAATGCAGCATATTTGCATTATAAAAATTATTAAAGGAAGTAGAAGGAAAGATGTAGCAGATGGAAATTTGTCTCTACACAAATAAATGAAGCAGAAATTATAAATATATAAATATAAAAAACATTTCTTCAGGGCTAGGGCTATAGCTCAGTGACAGAGCACTTGTCTGGCATGTGTTAAGCACTGGGTTCGATTCTTAGCACCACATAAAAATAAATAAAATAAAGACATTCTGTCCATCTACAAGTACAAAAAAAATTTTTGAAGACATTTCTTCATTTTTTATCTTTTTAAAATATAATTGGAGATGAAGCCCAGTTAAAGTACTCGCCCAGAATGCCCAAAGTTCTGAGTTTGATCCCCAGTGCTACCAAAAAAAAAAAAAAAAAGTTAGCTATTTATAGAAAAAAAGTCAATGTAGGAGGAATCTGGAACTTATAGAAATAAAAAATATGTGAAAAATGATAGCAGAAAGAATGAAGAATGGAAAAATATAATGCAAAAAGTGCAATGGAATAAGTTAAAGATGTATACTGTAAAATTCTAAAGAAATTTATATATTAAAAAACAAAGAAGTACAAATAATAAACCAATAAGATGATGAAAAGGACCTAAAACATACTTAAGAATGTAAAAAACAGAAATAAGTTAAAAGGATGGAAAAAGAAATAAAATACATAAATCTAAATAAATTTTTTTAAAAGGCTGGAGATGTTGCTCACTGGTTAAGCGCCCCTTGTTAAATATATATATATATATATATATACACACACATTTACATTTACATGAATGACAAAGAAGCACATGAAAAAAAAGTGCTCAGGGCTGGGGATGTGGCTCAAGCGGTAGCACGCTCGCCTGGCATGCATGCAGCCCGGGTTCCATCCTCAGCACCACATACAAACAAAGATGTTGTGTCCGCCGAAAATTAAAAAAAAATAAGTAAATATTAAAAAATTCTCTCTTTAAAAAAAAGAAAAAAATGCTCAATAGGATTGCTCATTAGAGATATACACATTAAAAACACAATGAGATACTATACTTCCAATAAAATAGTTAAAATGAAAAAGATTGACAATATAAAGTTTTGGCAAAGATGTAAAGAAACTGTAACTATCATCTATTGCAGGTGGGAATGTGAAATGGCGCTGCCATTTCAGAAAAAAAAAAATATTTGGTAGTTTCTTATAAAATTAATCATACACTTAACACACACCCAGAAATCCCACAACAAGGTACTTACTCCAAATAAAATAAAATACAAATGTTTGTAAACATATTCACACAACTTTATTCATAGTATCCCCAAACTGGAAACTACCCAAATGTCCATCTGTTGGTGAATAATTAAGCAAATTGTGATATATCAAAATAAAAAACACAATTATTGACACATGCAAAAACATAAATGTCAGAAAGCATTATGCTAAGTGCAAAAAATAAGATGCATAAGTAATTTCACTTATATGAAAAATTAGAAAAAGATACATTTAAGGTGAATAAAGCAGATAAGTGAGTATTGGGTTGATGGTTATAAGGAAGAAATTGATTACAAAATGGCATGTGGAAACTTTTTTGAGGTGAGAGAGATTTTCTATATTTTGATTATGGTGATATTTATAAAAGTGCATATGTTTGTCAAAACTCATCAAATTGTACTCTGGGTGTAATGTATGTAAAATTGGTGAATTTTCTCTGTGTTAATTTTACTGCAATAAAGTTGATTTTTTTCAATGTCAATTACCTGGAAAATTAACAGGGATAGATTTGTGATTTTAATGACATTAATAACTAAAAACAATAATAATAATATCTCTATATGAATCCTATTAAAACTTCATTTCTATAAAGTTTTTTTTATTTGGAACACTATTTAATGTACTTGAAATGCCATTTGTGTATTTCTATCCTGCTCAATCCTTTGATATCTTCAGGAATAAAAGAAACCTAGTCTCCTTCAGACACATTTATTAAAATTATCTGTTTTCTTCTGAAGCACTGAATATCTCTATACAATCTTCTAAAATGTTATACTCTATATTATGAACATCAAACACAAGAGGACTTGTAAAGACCCTATATAAATACAACAAATATGCAAAGAAAACCTCCTCCTTTAGGGCAAAGAAACCCTGATTTAGCAAAACAAGATAAAATTTTGTCGCCACATTTGATAGACCACTTATCTATTTACCAGTTCCAAATCATATATTCTTATATCATAGCAACAGAAGAAATTCAGTCAATACCAGCTAGCTTTCTATTGGCTAAATTCCACCCTTCCTCCTGCCTCAGACTAATTAGAGCCAAAGAGGTTCCACAATTGAATCATACATTAGGAGCCCTAGGAACCAATAGTTCCTAACCACTGATACCTGGAGTGAGAGTGGATTGCATTTCCCTCCACATCATGTACTGAAGAGGACCTTTGAAATGGCCTGGGTTCAGCTTTCTGGAGATAAGTTCTCTTGGTGCCAGCGCCCTTGTTCCTTGCTCCAAACTGTGAGAGACATAAATCATTTATTCTTAGACATTCTCTAAGGACTAAAGAAAAGTAGAAAGAGTACCATAGGGAAACACTTACCTATCCAAGAGATTTGAGATGTCCTAAAAGAAGAAAGGAGAAAGAGAAGTCAAATGCTCATTTATCACCTCCAAAAATTTCTGCAATATTCTGACTATCACCAAAATTTGATCATCAATATTGGGGTCCTGGGCCGTGATTGTGGCTCAGTGGTAGAGCACTTGCCTAGCATGCACGAGGCACTGGGTTCGTTTCCCGAGCACCACATAAAAAATAAATAAATAAACAAATAAATAAAAGTATTAAAAAATATTGGGGTTCTGTGCAGATGGTCCCCAACTCAGCTCCTACGATTCCTTTCATCCTCCAATGCGTTTTTCTGTTCTGCATTCCAATCTAACCCAGGATAAACTGCCCTTTCCTTGCTCTAATTTTCTAGAATTCTTTTTTATGGGCAACAAGAGAGAAACCAATAAGACAATAATTAAGGTGAAGCTATTTTTGTTCATATTTCCAAATAATCTCAAAAGAAAAATGCAGTAGATATTTCAATCCTAAAGACACTTTTCCTTACTCTGGCTAATTAAGCTTTTGAGTACTGAGGTGATGACCAATATCATTTTAGAGTTATAATTTCAGGTAGCAAAAGTTTGGCAGATAGGTTATTTTATTGTTTTGAGAGCCAGAGATTGAACACAGGGTGCAACATTCTTATTTTTGAGAAATAAAGCATCAAAATTCTTGATGGAAGATATCAACATGAAGTGTTATTAATTGGATTTTTTAAAAGTAACTTCTTTTCTTATTGGTGGGGGGGCACTTAACCACTGGTCCCCTATTTTGTATTTTATTTAGAGACAGAGTCTGAGTTGCTTAGTATGTTCTTAGTTTGTGTTATAGATGTACTGGCTTTTGTTGAGGCTGCTTTGAACTCATAATCCTCCTGACTCAGCCTCCCAAGCTACTGGGATTACAGGTGTGCGCCACTGCGCACAGCTAAAAGTAACTTCATTTATATGTATATAATTTAGTTGTTAATAGACCTTTATTTTTTTTGAGAGAGAGAGATTTTTAATATTTATTTTTTAGTTTTTTGGTGAACACAACATCTTTATTTTATTTTTATGTGGTACGCATGCCAGGCGAGCGTGCTACCGCTTGAGCACATCCCCAGCCCTATTTTTAATTATATATATGCAGTGCTGAGAATTGAATCCAGTGCCTCATGCAGCTAGGCAAGCGCTCCACCACTGAATCACAACCCTAGCCCTATTAATTGGATTTTATTCCCTTGTTTTGGAGCATGAAACTAAAGCTTCCTGCTGAGCATAAAGCAAAAGTAGCCTCCTGCTTTTCTCTCAGAGAATCTTAAAAGCACTACAGTAGTCTGTTTTGTTTTGTTTTCCCTTGATCATGAAAAGCCACAACTGCAACCTTCACAACCCTCTTCCACCCTCTTAAATGTACCCATAATGGGGTTGTTATGGAGTCTCACTTTGAGGAAATCGAAGGAGTTCCGCTGTTCCAGCCGTGTCTGAATGCTCACCAACATATCTTTGGCAAGTAGACACTGCTCCTGAAGCTGGTTCAGATTCATCTCCATCTCCTCATTCAAGGCTTTCCCCTCTTCCCGGAGGTCACTTAGAAGGTCCTTTTCTTTGCTGTGCAGGAACTGATGCAGCTTTAGAAACTCCAAGGACACATGTTGCTGCAGATGTATCTTGTTTTCCTGGAAACCTCCATTATCATCACCATGGTCATTACTGAGACTAGCACTTGGGGATGGGGACCCACACCAACACTAACACAACTTGGAGAAATACCACTGCAGAAAAATGCATATAAATGGCTGCTGAGTATCAACATTTCAGCGCTACTCAAAGGAGCCTTTTAGGAGACTTACTCCTTTTTTCCTGGCCAGTTTAATAGGTCAGGATGAACTAGCCAAAAGTGGTCTCTAGGTTCTCATTGCAATGATGGGATGGTGAGTATTTTGGAATTAGTCAAACATTATAGAATGAATAAGAATACCTTCTTTATTGGTAAACCAATATCTACCAAGTGGTGCTATTAGACCGAGACCATTAGAGGCCCATAAGAACTCTCTATCTAGAAACCAGAACTGAGGAGATGCCACTCCTGCTGCCAAGACAATGTAGAAGAAACAGGATATGAGCAATGTGTGAAGTACTGAAATTAACAACCACCACATTCGAACTTCTTTTCTTGGGTGATTTCAACCTCTTCACAGGTGTACCAACCATCTGACATACTGATTTCTCAGTTCTTCACTCTCTTCATTTCTAATGATTTATAGCTTTATCCATTTATTCCTATAGTCACACCTAGAATCTTTTCATTCCCAGCAATTGCACCATCTCCAAAATAACTTTTTATACTCATGTACCCCTATTGCAACAGCTATTGAATCTCATTAAAACTTTGTATTCAGCAACACCTCCATTACTGTTCATAAATTTCTATTTTCATGTGCCCTCTTATCCAACTTAGACTCTATGTCTATCATTATTGCACTTTTTTGTGGTACTAGGAATTGAACCCAGGTGGACTCTACCACCAAGCTATATCCCTAGCCCTTTTTATTTTTGAGATAAATCTTGCTAAGTTGTTGAGACTGGCCTCAAACTTGGAGTCCTGCTTCAACCTCCTGAGTAGTTGGGATTACAGGAGCATGCCACTGCATCTGGCCATCATTATTGCACTCTTAAAATAGTCTTAACTCCCTCTCTCTTCTAGCTCACACTTTTCCAGTTTTCTTTCTATCTTTCTCATCACCATTTTTCAGTCTTATTGATTCCACTTCCTCTAACCAAGTCTAATATTAGAATTACTTGATATTCTGTCCAAAGTCCATTCATCTTCCCATTCTACACTTTCTTTCTAGGCAACATCCTTTCCCACCTGTGGCCTTAAATGCTGACATCTCCAAAATAAACCAGCTTCTGAGCTCCAGATTCCTATATCCATCTGCCTATTTGATATCTCCATTCACCCCTCACATCTAATCAATCACTACAGGTACTTTTGTCCCCAAATAAACATGCTCAAGCTGTTCATTTCTCTGCATCTTCACTGCCTTTATAGTCCAAGCCACTTCCATCATTCTCCGGGACCACTGCCTTCCTCTAACTATTGTCTTTGTCATTGCCCCTTTCCAATACATTCTTCATGCAACTATCAGAAATATTTTCAAAATAAGATGAAATCATGTCCTGTTTAAAATCCTTTAATGTTTTCTCATTATTCAGAAGATGAAGTTTAAAATGCTTAACATTATCTACACAATGACCTACATGATTGGGCTCATATCTGCCTCTTCAATATCATCTTGCTTAGCATGCTCCAGCATTTCTTTTTTATAGCCCAGAGCTGGGGATTCAACCCAGGGCCTTGAATATGCCAAGCAAGTGCTCTACCACTGAACTACATCAACAGCCCTAGAATATTCCAGTTTTATTGCCCCTTTTTCTGTTTAACATAGCAACTCGCTTCCTATAGTAAGAGTTTTCCATACATTCTCTCCTCTTGCTATAACTTTCTTCTTCCAGACACTAAATGTCACAGAAGATTCTCCTACATAGAATAATTAGTGAATAAGCAGAACTCCCAATTTAGCTCCCTAACTTAGGGACTAATTTGCCAAATTTCTAAGCATTAATTTCATCCTAGAACTCCTGTGAGGTTGAGTGTGGGCAGCCAAGAAAGACCAAATCAGATGGGAAACACATGTAACCTGAGAGACCTTGGGTCAGAAGTGCCTGGCTATAAACCCAAAGGAAAGAAGTGGATTTTTAGTGGATTTTTCTAGTAAATGCCTTATTTTACTATGGATAAAGATACCACACAGAGCATAACCCCATGGTAATCACCTAGTTATCAAAACATCAAAAGGATCAGCATATTAGGGGAAAGTCAATCTGCTCTGTTGCTCATGTATTGGCAAAAAATTTCACCAACATATTGCTTTTCATCCTACAGTGTCAGTTTTCCAGTTCTATACCCCAAGTGCCATTTAGTGTATAGATTTTATATATAAAAAATATATACATTTGCACTTATGCAGCTGAAGTTACCAGGGTGTATTCTAGTTCTATCTCATAACCCTCTACCCTGCTTCTCACCTTGTAAGCAGCAATAGCATCCTTCTGCATGGCCTTCAGAGACTGAAGATCCTTCAGGGTTGTTTCCAGTTGACTCTGATGGACTGCAAGCTCATCCTAGGAACACCAAACAGAATTAACCTAACCAGCTTGAGAGATGAAAGGCCATAAGGACATTCCCAGAGCCTTAGTGGGCTGGGAAAAGGCAAGCTCTTGCTGCAAATCTCTTTCCCTTCACCTATAGCATAGTTCCTGTCTCTTTCAAGAATTGTGAATAAAATTACAAGCAGAAGAAAAACTTAGTTTTGCTTTCTTATTAGCTAGTCATGGAGATTTGAAGTAGATAATAGAACTCCACATTTTTCACTCTATTTGCACTGTTCTCACCACCTATATTTTTACTTACATTGTTAAAACATTTGTTTATTCCTTCTGCCCATCCAAAGCCAAATTATTTCCCAGTTAAAGTCATATCCTTTTCTTTTACAATACATCTCCTATATCAGCTTTCTCCAATCCCTTCAGAAATTCTAAACACTTAAGAATTACAATTGTGACAAAATTTAACTATCTATAGTAGACTTTCTTATATTTCTTCTGTTGTTATATTAATCTTAAAATTGACCAAATTTCAAACCTTCTTTAATAAGAGTAATATCTTATACACTCACATTCTATACAGCATGTGACTGAGGGAGTCAGCCAGAATTCCTCAACTGTTCCTTTCCCATAAGCAGTAACTTTACAGAAAGAACTTTGCAAGACATGAGCTTTCTCATTATTATTTAAATGAAGAGATGAAGTTGGAAGAAGAAAGAAGAAACAGTCCTACAAAAAATTTTTCCTAGCTTTCCTAAGAGATTGCTCAAGGCCAAGGCTCACACACCGTAAAGAAACGAACAGCATCAGAGATTTGCAGGAATTCCTTAGACTGCTCCGGAGATAACCGTGCATCCTTACATTGAAAGCAGATCAACTTCCCATCTGGCTTACTGAACAGTTTCAGGTTCTCTCCATGCTCTGGGCACTGTGGATGGCCTTTGAGTAGTGGAAGCTTCTTAATCTTTTCCACCAGCTTCTCCAGCACAAGGTTAAATGTACAGTTGCTATATTGACATAGCATCTTACACTCAGGACAGAAGGTTTCCTTTGCTTGCAGCTTCCAAAAGTTTTGGATACAGATTTGGCAGAAGTTGTGACCACAGCTTAGCATCAGTGGATCACGGAACCAGTCGTTACAAAGTGGACAGTGTAGCTCCATAGTAATGTCTTGTATCACCACTTTAGAGGGTAGATGGGTGAGTGAATCATTCACTTCAACATAGTTGCCTGGATCGATGTTAGAAGAGGGTCTGGAGGATACCTTCAGGAAAAAACAGCTTAAATGAGTTTCTCTTTCTTGTTGCTCACTTGAGCACTCCAGGGTGGTGGGTTCCACTCCAAAAGGAACTAAGAATTCATACAACTAGAGTAAAGGCACCATAATCTGTCCTTTGAAAAATTATCTAATAAACTCAGTGTTTTCTAACATAGTTCATAGCACTGTTTAATCCATTTTGTGCCATCATCCTCATATATGGAACACTATGAAAATTTAAGCAGAGTATATAATGTACAATATAATTATAGAACATGATTTAAATATAGTAAATAATATACAATGTAATCATTACAAAAAGAATATAATTATAATAAAATAATACTATTATTATAACATGCATTAGTTCTAGAATTTGATTTGCAACTTATTTTAATGTGCCTGTATCAATTTTGTTGATATATTTACTTGGGATGTAATGGGTTAAGCTTTAATAGAGAACCAAGGCAGAGGAAGAAAAAGTATTCAATTAAAGGAATGTATTTTGTTGTACATGCTTCTGTCCACTCACTTTCCCCACTTATCAGTTGAAAGCTTTACTTTCAACTTCTATTCTATTAGTTATTACCCTTATTTTGTTTTCTAGAAATCAAATAGAAAGAATTGGAAGACCAATTAGATTCCTCAATCAGTGGGATGATATCAACAGTTCAGACCCTCCCATACTCCTTTTTAAAAACTTATTACACAAATATAAATACCGAAAGATGCAAAATCATAAATGCATAGATCATTGACTTTTCACAAAATGAATACATCTGTATAACCATTACCCGGATTAAAAAATAGAACATTATTACTATCCCAGGAGCTCCTATATACCTTCCTATTCACCTTCTCCTCCTTACCAAGGTTAACACCTTTACAGACTTCCAACACTATTCATTAATTTTGCCTGTCTTTGTACTTTACATAAATGCAACCACAGATTATGTACTTTTTTGTTTCTGGATTCTTTTGTTTAGCATTACATTTTTGAGATTTAACCCCATTATATATAATTTTAACTCATTCTCATTGCTATATAGTATTCCACTACAATGAATATGCCATAATTTACTTCTCCATTTTGTTGTTGACAAGACTTTGGGGTAGTTACCAGTTCAGGCTAATATAAAAAGTGTTGTTAATAGCAATCTTGTTCATGCACTTTACTGATTATCTGTATATATTTCTCTTGAGTATATTACTGGGAGTGATTTATAGGATTGGAATATGTACAGCTTAGTAGATATTGACAAACTGTTATAGATAATATTCATCTTAGCTATGAATGTGGCTTTAATCTCTTTGCTGATAACTGTATATTGAATCTATTTTCCTATGTTTATTGTCTATTTGATTCTGCCCTTTTTATGAAGTGCCTGTTAAAGGAATCTATTTTATTGTTGAGCTATCTTTTTATTTATTCACAGAAATTCTTCATAGTTCTAGATATGAATTTTTTCTCAAATGCATGTATAGCAAATATCTATTTCCACTCAGTTGCTTTTTGGCTTTATTAATTATATCTTTTATTGAACAAAAATTCTTAATTCTCCTTAAACTTTATTTTTAAATATGACACAAATACAACATAAAAGATATATGAATTAATAATAGATAAATACGAAAGGAGAAAGAACCTTGCTGGCTAGGAACCAAGCATGATGATGTATGCTTATAACCCCAGCAACTTGGGAGCCTCAGCAATTTAGTGGGGCCCTACACAACTTCATAAGACCCTGTCTCAAAATAAAAATTAAAAGGGCTGGGATATAGCTCAGTAAAGTGCCCCTGGGCTCACTTCTCAGTACCAAAAAAAAAAAAAAAAAGAAGTTGGTTCTTTGTAGGATTGGCAGGGGATCCACAAAATTTAAGAACTAGATTGATGGAGAAAAAATATATATTTGAATCACTAAAATCTGAAATGATTTTGTAAGAAATAAAAAAGGTTTACCAGAGATTATTATGAACAGTGATATACCAACAAATTTAGTAGCCTAGATGAAATGGAAAAGTTTCTAGAAACACAACAACTAACTACCAGAACTGTCTCAATAAGAGAGAAAAATCTCAGCAGATCAGATGGCTTCACTAATAAATCCCACCAAACATTTAACAATTTAATACCAATCCATCTCAAACTCTTCCAAAAAATAGGAGGGAGCATTTATTTTAAATGACAAAGAAAGTTCAGAATCAAAGCAGTTAGAAAACAGCTATTCAATGAGATGGGTGGATGAGCAAATTCACTGAAGTTTATTATTAGACAGAGACTTGGAGAGACCCAGAAATTCTAGTCTTTGGAGGAGTGCTGAATATAGTGGTGGTAGCAGCACCAAAGCACAACAGAGGGAGAGGTAATACAAAAGGAACGAGAAAGAGACATTGTGCACAAATTAGGCATGGAAATAGTTGTAGAACAGAAAGGCAATCTGAACTTAACTGATTCAGGAGTAGCTTGGCAGGATGTTGCTTGAGAAGTGTTCTGCATTTCTCAATTTATAAGCAGAGAGAGCTGTGCACAGGGAGCCATTTTGCTGAAGTCATGCCTGAATTTGTTGCCTTAGGAATTCTAGATATTGCCTCAAATATTGTCACACTTAGATAGCTTTTATAATGATGACATATGTTCCTATTATCCCTAGTATTTCTAGTGTTTTGAACATGAAAGGCTTCTGTATTTTGTCAGATGCTTTCTCTGCATCAATTGATATAATCATATGATTCTTCATATTTATTGATTTCCGTATGTTGAGCCCTCCTTGCATCCCTGGAATGAACCCCACTTGATCCTGGTGCACTATTTTTAAAATATGTTTTTGTATGAGATTTGCCAGAATTTTTATGAGAATTTTTGCATCAATGTTCATCAGGAATATTGGTCTGAAATTTTCTTTCCTTGAGGTGTCTCTACCTGATTTTGGTATCAGGATGATACTAGCTTCATAGAATGAATTTGGAAGGGTTCATTCCTTTTCTATTTCATGGAATAATTTGAGGAGTATTGGTATTAATTCTTCTTTGTAGGTTTTGTAGAACTCAGCTGTAGAACTCAGGATTTTTCTTGGTTGGTAGGCTTTTCATGGTGTCTTCTATTTCCTTGCTAGAAATTGATCTGTTTAAATTGTGGATGTCCTCTTGACTCAGTTTGGGTTGATCATATGCCTCTAGAAATTTGTCAGTGTCTTTGAGGTTTTCTATTTCACTGCAGTATAAATTTTCAAAATAGTTTCTAATTGTCTTTTTTATTTCAATAGCGTCTRTCATGATATTTTCTTTTTCATCACATCATTCTAAATGGAGAAAAATTGGAAGCATTCCCTCTAAAAACTGGAACAAGACAGGGAAACCCTCTTTCATCACTTCTATTCAACATAGTCCTTGAAACCCAGAGCAATTAGACAGATTTAAAAAAATTAAAGCGATACAAATAGGAAAAGAAGAATTCGAACTATCATTATTTGCTGATGACATGATTCCATACTTAGAGGATCCAAAAAACTCCACCAGAAAACTTCTAGAATTAATTAATGAATTCAGCAAAGTAGCAGGATTTAAAAGCAATATCCATAAATCAAATGCATTTCTATATATCACAGATGAATTCTCTGAAAGAGAAATTAGGAAAACTCTCCCCATTCACAATAGCCTCAAAAAAATAAAATACTTGGGAATCAACTTAATAAAAGAGATGAAGACCTGTACGATGAAAACTACAGAACACTAAAGAAAGAAATTGAAAAAAAGACCTCAGAAGATGGCAAGATCTCCCATGCTCTTGGATAGGCAAAATTAATATTGTCAAAATGGCCATACTATCAAAAGCGCTATACAGATTCAATACGATTCCAATTAAAATCCCAACGTCATTCCTTATAGAAATAGAAAAAGCAATCATGAAATTCATTTGGAAAAATAAAAGACCCAGAAAAGCAATCCTTATCAAGAAGAGTGAAACACGAGTCATCACAATACTAGACGTTAAACTATACTACAAAGCTATAATAACAAAAAAACTGCATGGAATTGGCACCAAAATAGACTTGTAGACCAATGGTACAGAATAGAAGACACAGAGACAAACCCACATAAATACAGTTATCTCATACTAGACAAAGGCACCAAAAACATACAGTGGAGAAAAGATAGCCTCAACAAATGGTGCTGGAAGAATTGGAAATACATATGCAGCAAAGTGAAAACAAACCCATATCTCTCATCATGCACAAAACTCAAATCAAAGTGGATCAAGGACCTAGGAATTAGTCCAGAGACCCTGAGCCTAATAGAGGAAAAAGTAGGCCCCATCATGTTGTATTGGGTCCCAACTTCCTTAACAAGACTCCTAAAGCTCAAGAAATAAAATCAAGAATTAATAAATGGGACGAACTCAAACTAAAAAGCTTCTTCTCAGCAAAAGAAACAATTAATGAAGTGAACAGACAGCCTGCATTTTTGGAGCAAATTTTTGCCACACACATGTCAGATAGAGCACTAATCTCCAGGATATATAAAGAACTCAAAAAACTTAATACCAAAAAACCAAACGAACAACCCAACCAACAAATGGACTAAGGAACTGAACAGACACTTCTCAAAAAATAAATACACTTGATCAACAAATATATGAAAAAATGTTCAACATCTCTAGTAATTAGAGAAATACAAATCAAAACTACTCCAAGGTTTCATCTCACACCAGTGAGAATGGCAGCTATCAAGAATACAGACAAGGGCTGGGGATGTGGCTCAAGTGGTAGCGCGCTCGCCTGGCATGCGTGCGGCCCGGGTTCAATCCTCAGCACCACATACCAACAAAGATGTTGTGTCCGCCGAGAACTTAAAAAAAAAAAAAAATACAGACAACAATAAGAAATTTTTTAAAAAAAGGAATACAGACAATAATAAATATTGGCAAGGATATAGGGAAAAAGGCACACTCATATATTATTGGTGGGACTGCAAACTGGTGCAACCAATCTGGAAAGCAGTATGGAGAT